CGGGGGCGGCTCGCGGCGCCGACCCGCAGGAGGAGCCGCCGCCGCCGCTTCAGGCCGTGCTGGTCGCCGACAGCTTCAACCGCCGCTTCTTCCCCATCTCCAAGGACCGGCCGCGGGTGAGAGGGCGGCGGGCCCGGGCAGGGCAACGGGCGAAGTGGCGGCAGGGGAGTGAAAGAGCAGCCGGCAAGGCGCGTGCGAGGAGCACCGGGGCTCCCGGGGAAGGAAAGACCTTCCGCGGAGCTGAGGCTGGGCAGTTCCCTGAGCTCGCTGTCATTAACTGCTGGCAGGGCGCCTAATTACACACGCGGGCGCAGGCCTGGCACCAGGTGCTGCCAAAAACGGGCCGAAGAGGGGGGTGAGATTTTCAGGTTTCAGTCAGTAAGTCAGGTTTACAGTGTGATGTGAATCTCACGTCAAGAGGATGCTTGCTTCATGTTAGAAAGAGGCTTTTCTTTTTTTTATTTTGGAGACTGTTTAGTTCTTGTGGCTTTGTCATTCGAGTCTGACAGGTTTTTCTTGTAGCAGTTAAAGCCAGAGTCAGGGAATTGGCACTCTGGAATCGTTTGATTTTTGTCCATCTGGTTTGTTTCGGGATCTGTCGCTTATTTGAGCCTTATTCAAGAATTTTAGGTGTGATAATCTCATAATCTCACTATTCTGTTCTAACATCACTGATATTTCAACCTCAGTGTGTCTGTTAGGCTATCTCTAAATCTGTTTTTTTATTTAAGGCTCTTCTACCTATGGCAAATGTGGCCATSATTGACTATACCCTCGAGTTCCTAACGGCAACTGGAGTAGAAGAAACTTTCGTTTTCTGCTGTTGGAAGTCAGCTGAGATAAAAGAGCATTTACAGTAAGGAACTTTACTCGTTTCTTTCTAGCTTTATCATGGAACCCTGTGGGAAGCAGTGGGTCTGTGCTGTTTTTTAAGAGGGTTTTTTTGGGGATTGCATTTCTTACTGCCCTCCATGTGTTTGCCTAAAAGCAGTGCTTCCCTGGCCAGCTTTGTGATCGCAGTAGCAGCCTTTAGCAGCCTTCTGCTGTGGCTCTGTGATGAGTGCCATATATTGAAACCCTTCTCRTGGAAGGAGTGCTTTGTGTCCGCATGCTGCGCATCCACGTGCTGAAGACAAGCATGCAATCCTTTCTCTTCCCTGCTTGACAGAAAGCTGCTTTTGGAGAAAGGAATTCTGAGCTGGGTGTAATCTTTTTTCTCCTCTGTCAAAATTCTGCTCAGAGTAAGGTCTAGTTTTCTAAGCTTACCTAAGCCATGGTCTCAGAGTGTTGTCTTCAGCTCTGTGCGTGTGATCAGATCTCTGCCCACTGGTGATGTGYTCGTTGTAATAGGGCTCTTCCTGCACTTATAGACATGGCACGCGCTGGGGCACTGTGTATCCTCAGTAGGGGTTTCTTCCCATGCCTTCCTGGTGTGTTTTTCACCTTGCAGAAAGTCCAAGTGGTGCCGCCCCACGTCTCCCAACACAGTGCGCTTTGTGACTTCCGATCTGTACCGCTCGCTTGGTGACGTGCTGCGCGACGTCGACGCCAAGTCCCTCGTGCGTTCTGACTTCATCCTTGTCACGGGGGACGTGGTGTCCAACTTCAACGTGTCCAGAGCCCTGGAAGAGCACAAGTAGGTGTTGAAGGAAACCCGTGTCTGGCTGGTGTGCTGACTCTGGAGAGTGTAACTGCCTGGAGAGTGACTTAAAATTCTGCCCTTCCTGTTCAGGTTACGTCGCAAGATGGAGAAGAATGTTTCTGTGATGACGATGATTTTCAAAGAGTCCTCGCCTGGTCACCACGCCAGGTGCCATGAGGATGACATCATTGTTGCTATGGACAGTGCCACAAACCGTGTCCTTCACTATCAGCGAACCCAGGGGCTGAAGCGCTTCCGCTTCCCTATGGTGCGTCCGGCAGGTGCAGAAGGGGAGTCCCCGGGGAGTCCTCTGCAGTGAGCTGGGGAGCGGTGCTTACCCCTCTTCTGGAGGAGCAGGGGATGGGAAGTGATACGTGCTAAACTGTTTCACACATTTGATCTTGTCTGAGAGAGTTTAAGGCTTGAGGACACTGTCACGGAACACCCTTATTGGGAACTTGTTTGGGAATTTGAAGATGGGGTCGACATGCTTTTCTAAAAATATATTTTTTCTGTATTGATTCAATTCTTCCTTGCATGTAAAACAAGGGAGGTAGATTAGGAGTGGAATAACAGTGGGCATAAGGGGCATAAGACACATGGTGTTTTTTGTCTTACTCGGCTCAGAACTGAGGTTATGCGTATACTAGGTCAGTAATCCTTAAGACTGATTTTGTTATTCAGTAAAAAGCTATTTTTTGCTTCAGACAATATGTTAAAAAGCCACCCAAATCTGCTGTGTGAAAGCTATGAAAGTTATTTTCATTTATTAATGATGCTTGGATATTTGTTGTTTGTAGCAACTAAGGTATGGAGCTTTGTGGAAGACAAGTGTTTGATTTGTGAGATTTTTCTTGCATAGCTGAACTATTTAAAGAGGAGAGGGGGGCCTCTGCTGACTGACACAGCTCTGTGTGTGGCCAGGCTGTTGCTACTGAGGCTGCGTCTCAATGTAGGTCATAGACTTCTGTCTGCAGAACTAGAGCTAGTTTAATAATTCAGTCAGTTTCAATCCATGTGATGCCACAGGCTCATGAAGTGCTTTGGGATTCAGTACTGTGTGAGGTGCTGAGCTTGTCTGAATTTTCTCCTTTTTCAGAGTCTATTCCAGAACTCAATTGAAAATGTTGAGGTGCGCCATGATTTGCTGGATTGTCATATCAGCATCTGCTCTCCACAGGTGAGCCCTGCCTTCCCAAGGGCCTGGGGTGCCATCCCTTTGCTCTCCCAGTGCCGCTGGTGTGCGGGAGGAACGTGCACCCTGAGTGTACCGAGTCTGGAAAGCAGAGCTGCTGGTTGTGCTCCGTGACTGAGCTGAGGGAACACGTGACACTGCTGCGTGGACASTGGGAGCTCAGTCAGTGTCTGGAATCCCCCCATGCACAGAATTATGGAGTTGAGYCCAACCCCCTGCTGGAGCGGGGTCAGCTAGAACAAGTTGCATAAGACCATGTCAAGTCAGGTTTTGGGCATCTCCAAGGATGGAGACTCCGCAGCCTCTTTGGGCAAGCTGTGCCAGTCAGTGTTCAACCACCCTTAAAGTGAAGAGGTGTTTTGTTATGCTCAGACAGAATTTCCTGTTTCAGCTTGTGCCCATTGCCTTGTATCATGTCACTGGGGCACCACTGAGGAGAGTTTGACTCCATTTCTTTATGCTTCCTTTAGGAGGCACGTTGAAAAGATTCCCCAGAGTCTTCTCTGCTCCACACTAGACAGTCCCAGTTCTGTGTCTTCATGTATGGACAGATACTGCAGTCTCTTAAGCATTCTTATGTCCCTTTGCTGGATTCACACTGATGTCCCTCATCCTGGGAGCTGAGACCCAGCACTCCACATAGGTGTGTGACCCACGTTGAGTAATGGGGAAGGATCCCCTCTCTCAGCCTGCGAGTTGCACTGCCTAACGCAGCTCATTCTTTGCCATGAGGACGTGTGCTGGCTCATTTTCAACTTGGTGATCTCCAAGGCCTCCAGGTCTTTCTCTAAAAAACTTGTCACTCAACCTGCCCCCTAGTGACAAGCAGTTCTGGTCAGTGTAAACATTCATTCATCAGTGGAATGAATGACCGGTTTGGAACAGGGTGAAACCATACTGGAAAGTGACCTCACTTTGAGTATGGTAAAGTCTGTGGATCAGAGGTAATCGCTGTTCTATGGATAGTGTCAGTACTTGCAAGCCAGTACCATGCTAGGTATCAATATCCAAGGCTATTCCAGCATGGGCTTGCACTCAAAAAAAAGAGATGGTCTATAGACTTCTCCTGACTATAAAGCTAGATTGGGCTGACTGCTTAGAAATGTTAAAACAATGTTTTGTCCCTTCTGAAAACCAGAATCTGTTCGTAGCCTACTGTAGGAGGAAGAGATGGGAGAGTCAGCACTGCTAGCAGAAGGAATCAAAGCTTTATGCAAGGCAAGAGCGTCACTTTCCTATATAATATAACTTGGCTCTCTGAGGATGATGAACAACCGTTAATTTTCTGGCTTTCTTGGCAACATTTTATGCTGATGATATTATTTCCTTGAATTTTATTCTTGGCAGGTGGCTGAGTTGTTTACGGACAATTTTGATTACCAGACACGGGATGACTTTGTGCGTGGCTTGCTGGTCAATGAGGAGGTAAGGACAGGGACGGTGCACAGATCATTTTAACTTGTACTGAGGAATCCTCTAACATATGTGTGTCCATTTACCAGGTCCTGGGGAACCAGATCCATATGCATGTAACAACAGAACAGTATGGAGCCCATATATGCAACCTGCTTATGTACAAAGCTGTGTGCTCTGATATCATCAGGCGCTGGGTTTATCCGTTGACTCCAGAAATGAACTTCACTGATAACAAGAATCAGAATTACACCCATTCTAAACACAACATCTACCGGGGGGTGGATGTCAGCCTCGGCCACGGCAGTGTCCTGGAAGAGAATGTCCTCATCGGGCAGGGGACGGTCATTGGCAGCAACTGCTTGATAACCAACAGTGTCATCGGGCAGAACTGTAGGATAGGTGAGTCCTGGAAGAGGGAATGTGCTGAGACAAGGCATGAGTTGTTAGGCCTTTGTTTTCAAAATCATTTGGCTTTGAGGGAAGATGCTCTTGGGTTTTACATGATAACATATAATGGGAAGAAAGGAGAAAGGCTTTGTTCTCTAGAGAAAGAAATAAAGTTCCAGGGTACTGTAATGATGCTGAAAGTCAGAAGGCACTTCATGCAATGATAGGAGACATTTCAGTGTTGAAGAATACGTGTCTCTTAGTTATATAGAAATAACACCCACTAACGTCCTGCAAGTGAGGCTTATACCCTCTCTTATCCTTGGTTTGGTGCGTGTGTGGTGTGTTATATGTGGGTTTTGTTTTGTTTGTGTGTGTGTGTGTGTGTGAGAGAGAGAGAGAGAGAGAGATTTGACCATATCTGTGCAAAATCAGGATGTCAGTTGTTACTGTCAACTTGCTGAATTTCTGTAAAGAACAAACTCCTCTTCTAGGCTGGATAGACTGGAGTAAGAAATAGTTGTAGGCTGATAAGCCTAATACATATTTTTTGATGTGTAACATCCGTCCTCTATCAAGGACATTGTTCAGTCCTGAATTGAATGAATAAGATGCTTTCTAGTGACTCAGTGTTGCGGGAGAGCAGCAATCTGCCTTGCTCAACTTGTTTGTCCCTGGTGGTGTGTAACAGGTGACGGAGTCCGTTTGGATGGTGCCTTTCTCTGGGACAGTGTTCACATAGCAGATAATGTGGAGATCTGCCATTCTGTTATCTGTGATGAAGCTGAGGTGAAGGAGAAAGTAAAGCTAAAGCCTCGCTGTGTCCTCTCTTCTCAGGTGAGCTGCGTTTGTCTGTTTGCTTTCCCTCGAAAAGTGGCGAGACTTAAACTTGGGAATGTACAAGAACAAAGGGCTCTTCCAGACCTTTCCTTCAGAGTGGGAGCTATGCTATTGCCCCCATCCTTTTCCTTCTTCAGGCARTTGGGCCAGGGTCTGTCAGTGTTGGTGTTTTCAGTTATGCATATTGGATTCTTTCCCAGTATTGCTTGTCCAAAGCAACTGTTGCCCCTGATGGAAGAGGCATTCAGGATATTTTTCATGTGTTTCTTTATTAAGGTATGTTGTACATATTTACAGGTAGTAGTAGGTCCTGATATCACCCTCTCTGAGGGCACAGTAATCTCTCTGCACCCACCGGATGAGGAGGAAGAGGATGAAGACCAGTTCAGTGACGATTCTGGTGTGAACAAGATTGAGAGCAAAGTGAAACTGAAAGGTACGAGAGTCTCTGSCTTCATGGGCTCAGGCTGCACAGAATGTTTTACCCTCTGGGATCTTCTGGAGTTTCCATTCCCTGTTCTAGACTCTGTAATGCCAAGCTGAAGGTTAGTGCTGCATTCAGCTTGGAACATGTGTGTTTTCAGTAGGGCAAGCAAGGCTATATCTGACTTGGGTTGGACAATGAGGTACCCTAGCATTAAAATTTGCAGAGACTGAGCTGTTTTCCATTTTTCTTAGAGGAGGAGCCTTGTAGGAGATGATAACCTGAAGCTAGAAGAGATGTCTGGCTCAAGGCAGGATGCGGGATTCATGTCCTGGCACCTGGCCTGTGTCCAAGGACTTTGTTCCTGTTGAATATTATTACCTTCAGTCCAGGTTTGTTGAGGGATCTGCACATGGTCAGGTGGGTGYTGCGCTCTAGAGGGGAACAAGTCAGTCCCTTGTTGAGGCAAGTGGGAAGATAAAAGTTGAAATCCATGTGTATATTCTGTAGGAAGCCCCTCTTGATGAAGAGCATTCAGGGACAGTAGTGTGTGGGTTAGAGCAGTCCATTTCAGGTTTGCCTATGTGCAGATCCAGCATATCCATTTCCTTCTAATCACTGCATCTTTTTCAGGTTACAATAAAAAGGATGTGGGCTCAGAGGGCAGAGGCTATCTCTGGAAAGCAGATGACAAGAATGAAGAGGATGAAGAAGAGCAGAGACAGAGCCTGTGGGGTGAGAACAAATTCAGTGTAATTACCCGGGGATGGACAGGCATAAACCTTCTGTGTCAGTGGGACTTGCTAAGTGGGACACTATCTAGAATAAGAAAGCACTATGTGGTTCATGAGGTGAAGAAAAGCTTCAAACAAGAGCAGGATAAACTGTAGTTACTGTAGATAGAAGTCTCTGTTATAGAAAAGTCTGGAGAAGGCAWTGAAGTAGAAATAAAGGAGCAAGTTGCTCCTGTTCTGGGAGGTTTGGACATAAAGCCTAAATTTAGGAAGGGCCAAGAGGTGGTAAGCTGCAGAACAACTCTAGCTTTGTGCGTACTGAAAACCTGATGGGTGCCAAAGTGAGAGAGTCTCTAGAGACTGAACTAGAAATACTGCCTGGGCTCTGTGAAGCAGGTTGGCTTCCAGGTAACATATGTGGAGTGAGGTCAGAAGATACAGGTTACTTCTGGAAAGCAGCTGGTGGACCAGATTCTCTCTGTTCATGCTTTATGAAAGATGGTTGTTTTATCTTTTACTTGCAGTAACACATGTAGCCGTCTGTGCTATGAAATGCGTGTCCGAGGCTGCGAGGCCCTCCCTTGCAGTGGGTGGGTTTTGGCTGTTCTGCCTACTGCAGGTTTTTTTCTGCTAGTGACTGATTATGCTAACGTTGCTCCATCGTGAGTCAGCAGTCAGGGCAAGATGCATTTTCTTCCGTCTCTGCCCTTGGCTCTTTGTCTGCAGACTCTTTTAAAAAAAATCCCATTATTCCAGTGCCAACTCTAGTGTTGCCTCTGCAGCAATTTTATCCATCTGAACGTGTAGGTAGAAGCTCGTTGCAAGGACAGATAGTTGCTGACTTGGCTGGGTAGCCCCTGAGACACCTGGTGCCCCACTCACACAACAGCTGCAGCTTCTGGATGTTGAGTGTTTAATCTCTGTCCTTTATCAGGCCCTACGCTGCATTCAGAGGAAGAGAGTGAGTCAGGCAGTGACCTGAGCTTGGACTCTGAGGAGCCAGACAGTCGGGCTGCATCCCCACAGTTGGATGACATCAAAGGTGAGAGAGATTCCTTGTTTTACTATATGTTAACCCAAGGCAGCCAAGGGTGAGAAGCTGGAGAAAGATGTTCTTTCTTACTCATGATCATGGGGTCTTTATCCAAGCAGATTCCCCTAGTTTTCTCTTTAAATAGCAGCATCACTGCTTAGACTCCCAGGAGGTTGCAGAAAGGTCCAGTAGAGCTTCCCTGTGTAGGCAGCTTTACTTCTGTAAGTGTATGAGAATACCAAATTTCCTTATAGGAGCTGCCTCTTCTTAGAAATACATTTTTGTTTTGTGTTTCACTCTGTTAAGATTGCATGGATTTGAAAGGGATTCAAGTTAAACTTTGAAAAAGGCAGTGGGGGAGAAAAACCTTTTCATGTTAAAGTTTTTCTCCAAATGAAATTAAACCAATAATTTGTAGATTTCAGTTCACACCTTTGCTTAAGGGAATTTTGGACTTTCCTATTCAGACAAGCCTCAAGTGTGAAATTATAATAGAAGCAGTGCAGAATAGATGGAGCAATGATCTCTAGTAACTAGCTTATGGAAAGCAGATAGAGACCTGTGTCAAATGCTTTCTTTAAAGGTGTAGTTTCTTCACTAATTAAAATGTTTAAAGAATTGGCACTTTTTTATCCCCTCACTGACTATTTGTCCTTTCTTTCTTTAGTTTTTCAGAATGAAGTTCTGGGTACATTACAGAGGGGCGAAGAAGAAAACATTTCCTGTGACAACCTGGTCCTGGAAATCAACTCTCTTAAGTGAGTGTTCACCTAGGGGTGCTCTCCCTGATTCTGCAGAGCTGGATTTGACAGCAGGTCTGGAAAGGAGAAACCACATAAATAGCCATGCCTGATTGTTGCACGTTAGTTTTGCCAGTAGTAGAGCTAGAGAAATGCAGATGAGAGATCACGACTTGGTGATTGCAGAAGCTACATGTAGAGCTTCCTCAGTCATTAAGCTTTTCCAACCCAGTTTCTGCAACAAGTGACTTGGTTGCTACTGAGTGACTCAACTGAACTGGTTTTTGGCACGAGATGCGTGTAAGGTCGTACAGGAGCCACTGCTCTGTACACTGTAACATTCAGCCAGCTGCCTGCAGCTGTGACTGCATTGAAGTGTGGTTTGTCCCCTCTGTTTATACATCAGCAATTCCAGAACACAACACTTTCCCCTGGTATTTCTCAAATACAAACCCAACACCCAGATTTTATGCCAACAATCTTTGTGCAGCTCTCTAGTGAATGTGAGGGTGCTCTCCCTTGCAGCAGCTTATTCCAGTGTGATAGCAGAATTTCAGGACTGGTCTTTCACAAGGCCTGTTTCAATGCAAGGTGTTTTAATTGCATGGATGTTAGGAGAAAAAAAGTCTGGAAAATGCAACTCAAATCTTCTATTATGTCACTGTAAAGMACAATAGTGTGCAGAGAGCAGGCAGCTAAAGTGTATTTTTTTTTCTGACTTTTTCTTTGCAGGTATGCCTATAATATTGGGCTGAAGGAGATGATGCAAGTGCTTAGTAAAGTGATCTTGGAGTTCCCATTGCAGCAACTGGATGCAAACTTGGACTCCCAAAACTATTTCTCAGCATTACTTCCTGTGAGTGCTCCTCTATTTAACTCTTCTTGAGTCTTTTGTCCTGGTGTGTAGGAGTTGGATTAGATCCCCCAGACACTTCCCGAGTRAGGAATCTTTTTGCTTAGTTCTGAAGTCACTTGAGGCTCATGAGTTTGTGAACCTGTTTGTCTTCTGTGGAGCTAGAAGCGAACTGAAACTACTGCATCTGCTTGACAGAACGTAGCTAAGGTGTGGGAAGTATTATTTCAGTAGCTTATGGTGATTTCTGTCTCCAATGTGTGATAGTAGAAGTGTGTAACTTTCAGGAGAGAGGCTTGGAGGTTTCTTTACAGGCTTGCATTCCAGGAACCCAATTCCAAACTATCATGAGTCCGATCTCTGGCGCAGTGGGGAGCTCTCCTCTCSCAGTGGGATCCTTTCCAAGGTCTTACTTGTCTGCACACTATAAGAGGTGCCAGTTCTTTTCCAGCCAAGTGCAGAGGCAAGATCTTGCTGTCCTTGAGCGAAGATTCAGGATTCTGTTGTTTTTCGGGAAAAGCTGGGGTGTTATTGGTYGAGAGCGATTTCTGCTTTCTGATAGAATAGGGTGTACTTAGGCAGTTTTATCTTAAGGGCTTTGTGGATCCAAGTTGAAGGCAATGCAGTGACTCTGCTTGCGTGTTTTGAGTTTGCAAACTCCATGGCTTACAAAGGTGCTTTATCAGAATGAATGGATCTTGTACCCGTTTGGAAAGGACTAATTTAAATTTCTCAGTAGACAGCTAAAAAATAGGACCACTAGACATCTACATCATCCATTATGTGAAGAAGTATGTGCTTTCAATTGATGAGAAATGGTGGAAAATTGACTCTTCTTTTTGTAATTGTATGTATGGTGCTTGCTTCAGATCCTGGATGCGTGAAGATGCCTTTGGTAGGAAGCTACAGCAGTGAAGTGCTCTGCTCACCAGCTGCCCTAATGGGATTTTGCTCTTCATTACATTTCTAATCTGCCTGAATTTGTTCTGTTTTCAGTTTCTTGTCCTGACTAAGATATACTGCTCTGGAAAATGAGTAGAAGGTTGAAGAGAAACTTAGAGCAGATAGTACACTCTTTAAGTTGAGATGCCATCCTTAGAGTTGTCCGAGGAATCGAGTGTTAAAGCAATTGGCCACCATGGTAGCCAGCTTGTCCAAACGCTTCTCTGTGAAGCACAACCAGCAAGTTTCTTAGAATACCTTGCTCTGGGAGAATTTCCTGCTTCAGTGTCTTTGCTGAACCCAGCATGTTGTGCTGGGCTCCCTGCGCTGAGATGAGCTGGAAGGCAGTATCCTGGTGAAGAGTGTCAGCGTTCAGCTGCAAACATGTTGGTGTCAATGCTAAAATCCCAGTGTGTTGGACTTGACACATGTCTCTAATATAGACAATGAATCAGCTTTCTAAGACTTATTAAACAGCCATTAGCAGTCTTCCTGTGAGCAGCTGGTGTGTGTTTGCCAACTGTGCTCTGAAGAGACCAGTTCTTTGGGCAGAGCGTGTGTGTTTGTGCAGCATCTGAACTGGTGGGTTCTCTGCAGCAAACAAATTGTGGTTGCCTAGCAGGTCACAAATACATTCCTTTAAGGTGTGAGTACTTACACTCTGAGAAGCCCAAGCAGTAGCTTTGTATGGGTTAGTACAGATCAAAAATGTGTACGGTATGTAGCTAGCATGGCCCTCAATTGATAGTTGCATTAGATTYGAGCACTGCTTGTACCAGTTCTCCTGTGGCAAAGAGTTTGTCCGAGGTAGAAATGCTTAGTTTGAGAGAGAGGTGAACACCAGAACCTGCTGAACTTTGCACAACTGCTTCATGTTTCTTTTTCTTTGTAGCTCAACTCCGGCTAAWGGGTGCTAAAGAAGATGGAGTGTTYGTGTAGAGCAGTGGTAGAGCCGTGTCAGACAGCTCAGGAGGGGAAATTGTGGAAATGCCATGGTTATGATGTATGGTTTGACTTGAAACCACAGTATGTGCTCTGGAGTGCTGGCCCCTGAGTATGAAGCTCCTAAGTTTTGCAGCAGTTTTTGGAAACAAAAATCCAGTAAAGGATATGCGTGTAGGTATTTTTTATATGAAACATGAAGGCCTGAGAAACGGCGCTATCCAATTTAATGTCTGCGAGTCATCTTGTTTGGCTCTTGAATAAGTAAAGCAGAGATGGTGCAGAACACCTCATCTTGTTAGCTCTGCTGTTCGTCTGTGGGGCTGTCCCCACAGTCCCTTGTCTGTTGGGGGCTGCTGCCTTCCAACCACTGTCCAAAACAGRGCAGCACTTAACTACCAAGAGTGTTAACTAGGGCTAATGCAGAGTATAAGTGACCCGGGGCTTCTTCCTCACACCCAAGCCCCTCAGAACTTCCCATTTCCCTTAAAAATAGACCAGATGAGTGTGCTCTGTAGGGAGACACTGAGCTGAAGGTGCAGCAAGACAGTGTGCTGATGTGAGCCGTGGATGTAGTCACTAGGTGCCTGCTGTTGAATGAATCTAGTTTAAAAGAACTGGAACTTTACCTTCCTTTCCTACAATGTATTATTGGGATAGTCTGATCGTAGCATGGTCAGACAGGAATTATTGTGCCCTGTTCTCCCAATTCTGATGCCTTTAGAACTTCTGTGGACAGGGCTATAACTATTTTAATTACCTCCTGTCTCAGGAGCTGGTCARTGTGTGCAGCTCTGCGGAGCTTTTGTTGCTGCCTGCTTTTCAGATGTCTGAGAGACTCAGCCAGAAATACTGTTTAAAAAGGCAACACCAAAATCATTAAACTGAAGGCTTCATCAAAAATAAGCCTGGGAGAAAAGAATTGAGCTAATGGTTAACAGCTTCCTGCCCTTCGTCTTTCCTGCCTAGTTCCCGCAGCAGATGCTGCGATGCACAGAAGCCTGTAGACACACAGCAAGCGTAAGGCTCAGCTGTGGGTGTTTTTCCCATTATGTTCCTCATTTTGGGATAGTTATCTTGTTCGGTCCACTTTTACTTGGCTAGTAATTAGTTATGCTGGCACTCTCTTTTTCTCTTTGTTCTAATTCTTTCTACTGCTTTGAAGGAAAGCTCCAGTGAAATATCAGCTGCTCTAGATGAACATTGGAGTTGCTTGTATGTACCTCTCCTTATCAGTCTGCTGTGATTTTTTTTCTGAGTACCAAATTCCATTAGAGGTTTATTGTGGCACTTTACAGCTTTGAGAGCATCTGTTACACCAGCTGTCTAGCAATGCCAGGTCAGATCTGCACACGGGAGCCTGAATACTGTGTTTGATAGACAGAAGGGGTCACATATGCCAAGTGGTCAGATGGAGCTTTTCATAAAATGCCTCCCAGGCTCAGTTTTAATGCAGCCAAGCTGAGACTCAGGACTGAGTGAACACATTCACATCATGGCTCAGGAAATGGTCTTCTGTGTTTTCCTCCTGCAGCTGTTGAAGAACTGGACCCCGTTGTTCAAGAACTACATAAAACGGGCGTCGGATCACTTGAATGCCTTATGTGCCATTGAGGAATTCTTCCTGGAACACGACAGCCTCTGCGCATCGATAGCTAAAGTGAGTTTCTGCTCCCAGCTCTGAGGATCTGTTTTGGCTAGATTTGTGATGGAATACATCCCSTTTGCTTCATCAGCTTGTCTGCTTTAGAGGAGAGGAATTTGGGGCCTCGGAGGAGATGAATATGGAAAATTCATCTATAAAAATTGCTTTTAGGAAAGTGTTCTGTGGCTGCCTGTGCCTCTGAGTGAGCACAGCTGAGGCTGAGTATTAATTACCAGTATGCAGCCTGAAGGGAGCTTTTATTTTGCAACTTTTAGCCTAGATGCCCCTGTTGTGTGTGCTAGAAGAGATGTGAGGCCAGGAAGTTGCTTTAGGAAGAGCTCTACTTCCTTGCCCTCCCTACAGTGCGAGRGATTTAACTGGCAAATAATTTACCCTTCTTTAAAGTGCAAAGTTGGGAATAAGGGCAAGATTTCCTAGTTAGGCTGAGCAAGTTGTGAAGCTGAGAATAAAGGGAAGGTGAAGCGTGGCTTAATACCCATCTCCTCAGCATTTTCAGTGTGTCCTGTACTGTGCACCTCTCCAAATATTCTTGGATTCTTCCTGCCCCATCACACAAGGGTTATTTGACTCAGATCCTAAGTCTTTCCTTCCGCAATGTCTCAGGAAGCCCCTATTTCTTTTGGAAGAGCTTTCCTAGAATCCTCTTTAACCCTCAGCTCCTCAAGAACGAGGAATCATAACTTGTGCTACCAGTGCTTCTGGCCAATGGCAAAGCACTTAGCGTGGACTGGAGCCAAGCCCTCAGCTTGGTGAGCCAAAATGTCCTTGAATTACAGCAATTGTCTGGCATGCGTCCATTGTTCCAGGGGCCTGGGTTTCCCTGGAGGCTGGGAATTGAAGTGACACTTTATACATGGAGTTGGCAGCCCGCTTTGTCAGCGCTCTGCCGCGAGGACTGCGGCCGCAGCACAAAGGCACCCTGAGAAGGCGCCYGGGGCTGCTCCTCGCTGCCCTGGGCAGGGGGCTGAGGCCGGCAATGACCAGTCGCTTTGACACCTGCCATGCTTTTTCTTGCTGCCCATGGCTCTTAATCGTGCCCTGCATCCTCAGAGCAGAAGCTGATGAAGACGGAGCTTAGACACATTATATGTCATAGCATCTACCTGGCAGAAGTGTGTGACTGGTAGGGGAAGCATAATTATTGTTAACTATAAATGCAAAATGAAACAGTCTAAGCCCGTTCCTTTTAAAACYGAGCTGGGAGCTACAAACTATGTGCAAATCTTGTGCTCAGACATAAGCTAATCCTGAAAGAGGTGATAAGAGAGCCCTGTYGCTCTTCTGTAATTGTTGCAGGTGCTGATGACATTTTACCAGCTGGAAATCCTGGAAGAAGATGTAATTCTGAACTGGTTCTCTCTGCGGGACACATCTGATAAGGGAAGGCAGCTTCGTAAGAACCAGCGAGTAAGTCCCAAAGGTGTTAAAAGGATATGTGAGCTGTGAAAGAAGGTTCAAGTGGTGCTCAGTGCCACAGCCTCCTTCTGGGAAGCAGCTGCCATTACAGGCCAGTAATGCACCAGTGCATCAAACACTGCGCAGCACAACTTTGTGCTCCAGAACAGATGTCTCTGAGTTCTGCCATAATCAGCCTGCGTAGTTTGGATGAGGAATGGAGGTAGGAGGAGAGAGGGGTGGCTTTTAGTGGGCTCTCCTTAGCATGAGGCCAGCACTTTCTGCAGTAACAGCACAGCTTCTGTAAGCCAACACCCATTTGAAATGGGCTTTTGGCCAATGTCCTATGTGCTGGCCCCATGCAGTTCCTTTGAAGCTCTCATTCCTGGCTCACCAGTTTCTTTGAATATATTTCTTAGCATTTATGGTACTCAGTAGTTTCATTTGGCTTGTGTTGTAAGGAGCACATAAACTTCCCCTCTCCATCAGGCAGAACTTTGTGCTACAGTTTGGCTGAGCCCTGTTCCAGTTCTCCTCCCTGGCCTTGGAAGGGGAGGGTGGGGGAAAGGCCATCTCTGAAGAAACCCGACTTTGTTTAAAACCAGTGCAAAGTCAACTCTTAGTATAGGTCAGCAGTGCTTTCAACTGCTTATTTAAGCCAGGTTAAAAGGTAAAATGAGCTGCCTTTTTTATAGCAATAAGGGAGAAGACTTTTCCCAGCAGTAGCTTTCCTAATGTGCCTTAAGTAAGGTGCTGCTGTCCTCTCTCCTCCCATGAGCTCTAGAGAAGGTAACTGTCTCAAAGTTGTGTCTTCTCAAAGAGTGTTTTGGGGACAGTCTGACTGGAGAAATCTGCTTCAGGAATCCAATGAGCCTGGATTGCCCATGGCATCCTAGTTAGTTTTCATTTAAACATCTCTCCCCCTTAATCTGCATGTTTTCATGTCTGYTAGAAACACCTTTTCTTCTTGGTCGGTGGTCATAGTGTTCACATTGAGCATGCCGAGTAGATCTGTTTTAGTTGTTACGCAATTAAATTTTGTTCTCTGTGCAGCTCCAGAAGTTTATCCAGTGGCTGGAGGAAGCAGAAGAAGAGTCGTCTGATGGCGACCAAGACTGACRTGGTGGCTTGGCATGGAAAGAGGCACTCGCTGCCTTTCTGGGCCGAGTGGGCAGGGCAAGATCAATGGCAGTGCATGGTGTGTAGATGCGGGGCCTGACATCGCTGACTGACAATCCCATCCTTATTTATGTTGTGTGTTTCCAACTCTGCCCTCCCTCACTTGCCCAGAGGCATCTTATGTGGGATGGTTGCAGCACAGTGTGCAAACCAGAAGGGACAAGCAGAGGGTGACAATGTCTAGAATCACACTGTTAGGATCCCTTTGCTCCTAATGTAGAGGGAACAAATGAAAGCAAATGTACAACCCCCTTATAAATCCAACCATTGGGGTTTGTGGAAATACAGTCATAAAGCTATGTTCTCTGGAGTCACTGTGTCTGGAACTAAGGGAACTCCTGCTGAAGAGACACTGGCAAGGTTGGTAGGTAGGAGTGTATGGGCTGGGATCAAGAGTGCAGGACTGGGACCCAGGAGTTTCCAGTGCCATGGAAAATGCAGCTGTCTGAGGATGCCTAAGGCATTTTGCAGCCTGGAAGGCACCTCTGTGATCTTTCCGAAAGGGAGAATCTTTTGCCATCTGTTGTGCTAGGATTTAACACAAGATTGCACAGTAGAGTTGGTAAAATCATGTCTTTCCCCTTTCTGTAGAATAGGGGATAATATGTGCTCAGCTCCCCCACTGGCAGGGGTTGGCTAGTCAAGGATGTGCACTGATCAGTGAAATGCTGTGTGGATCACTACAACCTAGAGGTGATTTGTCTTCTGTGTGTCCTCAGCTAGCAGACATGGTGCTTAGAAAAGTGTCTGTTACTTTATTTTGTTTAGACCAAAAAAAAGGGGGAGGAGTGGAGGAAGCAGAGAAGCCTGACTCCTCCTGCTACCTCAACAACACCTGTGTTTTGCTGTGAGACCCCTGACCACACTGACTTCTTTAAGGAAAATGCAAGTTCCTAAGTTCTGCTCCAGTCTGAAAAGAAGCAAATGGCATATCCTTAGGTAGCACATCGTTGTGTTCCCACRTGAGCTGTGACACACGCTTGCTTACTCAAAATGCCTCTTCTTGTTTAATGGGGAACTTCCCCTCCCTCAGGTGGCAGGGAAGGTGCTGCAAGCCTGCTGAAAAGATCAGCAGCTGCAGAGTAACTGGGCATGCAGTGGGAAACAAGGGTGTCCCCGGTGCTTTCCTGCCAGCACCAATAAAGTGTGGTTGCAATAAGACCCTTAGGAACAGTCTTGGAAGTGTCTCTGTGCTGTCAACTTCCCTGTTCTCATGAAGAACAATGGGGAAAATACACAGTGAGGATCAATTTCTGTTGTTAGAGGGGTTGTATTTGAATGTGCTGACCTTGCCTCTGCCCCTTCAGAAGGAGCATGGAATAAATTCCCTTGCAGGAAATGCACTGGWGCTGCCCACTCAGGATATTTATTTGGCCATTCCATGGTGCCACAGTTGTCAGTGAGGGGACAATATTGGATGCTGGAGGCCAGGGATAACCGCCTCTTACGCTGATGTTCAGGCAGGGCAACATTGTGTACTCGCGGTGCCAGTTGCCAGGATTGTGCATAAATGCCCTTGTTTTCTGACATTGCAAACTCAGTCTTGTTAATGTTGGGGAAATAGTTGGTATCTGAATTTTCTGTATCTGACAATATTTAATTCAGGGAGAAAATAAAAACTATCCTGGTGTTAATGGCTTCTCTTCTTTGTTTGAGTTGGAATTGTTTGTCTCCAATTGCGGCACGCACCTGAGCAGGCCTTACAGGTATAGGTGAGCTTTATAGGTAAGCTAAATAACACATAGCTGCTTTTCCCTCAAGAGATTTCAAGCTCATAATAGGTTGGTAGGAAATCATCATCCCATTGAATTGGTATAAATGTTCAAAGATAGCTTGTCTACCAATAGAGAACATTTCTATTAAATTCCTGACCTTCAGAATCCCAGAGTGGGTGAGGTTTGTGTTTGTACAGGATTATGTTGCAAAAAATGAACCATAAATCCTGTGAAACTTGCTCTCCTTTGTCACAATGAGAATTGGAGAGAATGTTGGTTTAATTGTATTGCCCCATACTCTCCTGGTGTTGGAAAGGAAGAACTGGTAGGGAGGGGGTGGAAGTGCAGCTAGAAAGCTCTTTTTAAAATTTCTGAGTCTCGCAGCTGCCTTGTAAGTGCTTTTAAAATTTCCATGGATATCTTAGGTACTCTTTGCTTTTGTAATATAAACTGAGTGTAATAAAACTGTTTTAAGAAGGTTTAAAACATAGATTTAAGCTTTAGCTCCGTAGATGCAGTGGGGTTTTTTGTTGTTGTTTGTTGGTTTTGGTGCAAGGCTTTTGATTCTCTGTGACAAATAATAATTCCCGTTTGTTTTCAATGTTCTTGACCCTTCTACCTCAATGTGTCCAGCTTTCTTAGCTGGATGCTGTGGACAAGAAAGTGACCCCCCCGCTTCTTACCCAGTGGTTGAGATTGAAGGTGAAATGTTGCTGTGTGGCCAAATGCCATTATCCTCTATATCCCTATAGCAGGATGTGGCAGGTGGAGCTATTTTAGAGGGGCTAAGACTCCATTAGCAAAAGAAAATGTTCAAGGTAGAATACGCCCAAGGGGTTGCACAAGGTGCAGTTCTGGCATAGTGCAGCACCCCTATATTTAAAGGGATGGTAAGTGTATACCTTTTTAAAGAAGCTTWAGTGTAGGGTTAAGCTTGAGGTTGCTTTTGAACAAAAGTTTTAGTTGTCTGGAACAACAAAAATGCCTTGGGAGCAACCTTGACTGTCCTTGTTATCTGGCTTTTTGAGCAATGTAAGTAGATTCATTCTTTGCATGTATTTTCTTTGTCCTGTTTGCAGCTTTTCCTCATAAGGCCAAGAATTGTCACAGTAGTCATCTTGCCTGACACCCTATCTTAACAGCTATGAATCTATTTCGACTGGTGGTTCCTGTAGCAACCCCGTAACTTCAGCTGAAGAACAATGTGCCTTTGAACAACACCTTTTTTTTTTTTTTTTTTTCTTTTAAGGTGTCAGTGATGGAACTCAAGTACACCTTGAGTTCCCTATCAGCTGTGTCAGGCTGCTCTGAGCAAGTTTCCAGGCACTAAAGCGCCTGGAGCCCATTTGTAGCGTAGGGAGAAACAGCACTTATCAGTGCTGTGACTTTTAAAGGGAGATATAAGCCAACAGGCTGTTGAGAAACTGTTCCATGTGGACCTAGACTGCTCAGCCTGGGCCCTTACTGCTAAATTCTTTGGCTCTGTGTTCTTTACCTCCATTCATTAAGACTGAGTCATACTTCACAAGACTCCTGCAAGCAGTTAAATCAATCTATCAGCTGCGTGTATGCAATCACTCGGCCTATTTGAAAGCAAAGGAGCAGCTGTAATAATGGCCTCGTTACCCATGCAAGGGGGAGACTTTGTCTACTGCAGCTCTGCGGGTGTGTGGTACTGGCTGCTCCTCTCACATKGTAGCTTTGTGTGGTCCCTGCGGAGCTCAGCCCTCCTGAAAATGGCCCTTTTGGCAACAAAGGTGTTTGCTGTATCTGCGGGAGGCTCCCATGCGGCCCCACTCTGCTCAAGAGCTGTGAGACAGGACAAGGGGGCCGCTCTGGCCCTTATCTGAGGGGAAACGGGCCCTGTTTCACTTAGGCCTCGCTTTTGCTGCCCTGGGAGCTCTCTGCCCTTCCTCCTCCTGCTGGAGCCTCACGCCCCAATAGGGCTCCATGCGGTTGTTCCTCCTCCCGGGCCCCAGTGAGGCTGTTTCTGCCCTGCTGAAGGGTGCGAGCGTTTCCCAAGCTCTGCAGGCCCCAGGGATGGGAGGACAGGGCTGGCTGGGGGCCAGGAGGGCGTTAGGGTTTGGGGAGCAGCGTGTGCAAGGGCAGACCGGACGGTGGGAACGCTGGGGAGCGCAGGGGCTGTTGGAGACGAAGCCGCACAGAGGCTGCGGTTGGGACAGGGGGTGCTTGTGGAGGGACGGGATGGCGTTAGGAGAGTAACGGGCTGAGGAGCAGGGCCGGAGGAGCGGGCAGGGCTGAGAGCAGCGGGCCGGGACCCTCCCGTGCCCAGGAGCCCCGCGCCCGGRGACACGAGGCGGCTCCGGGGCCACAGCGGCCGAACGGGCCCCGGCGGGGCAGGCGGCCCGCTCCGGGACACGCCGGCGGCCGGGCCGGGCCCAGCCG